AATATTAAATACATGAATTTAACAAAATGTGTGAGACCTGTAAATTGAGAGAGATTAAGAGATCTAAATAAATGGGGCAGTATACCATGTTCAACAATTGGAAAGCTCAGAATTGTTAAAATGTAATTTCTCCCTAAATTGATGTATAAATCCCAGGAGGCTTTCTTTTTGTAGAAATTAATAAAAGTTGTTTTCTGTCATTGTTAAGACAGAGTTTTGCTCTTGGTTGCCCAAGCTGGAGTGCAATGGTGTGATCTCCCCTCACTGAAACCTCCCCCTCCTGGGTTCAAGCCATTCTCCTACCTCAGCCTCCTGAGTAGCTGGGATTCTACAGGTGCCCACCAACACGCCCGGTTGATTTTTTTGTATTTTTAGTAGAGATAGGATTTCACCATGTTGGCCAGGCTGGTTTCGAACTCCTGACCTCAAGTGATCCGCCTGCGTCAGCCTCAAAGTGCTAGGATTACATAGGTGTGAGCCATGAGTCCAGCCAGAAGTTGGTAAAAGTTGACTCTAAATTTTATATGAAAATGCAAAGGATCTAGAAAAAAAAAAAGGAAAACAACAAAACTGAAGCTCTTCCAATACCCGAGTATGATACTTATTGTAAAACCACTGATGGCCAGGAGTGGTGGCTCACACTTGTAATCCCTTTGGGAGGCTGAGGCAGGAGTTCAACACCACACTATTCCACATAGTGAGACCCTATCTCTACAAAAAAAATGTAAAAATTAGCAAGATCTGGTGGTGCATGCCTACAGTCCCGGCTACTTGGGAGGCTATGGCAAGAGGCTCACTCGAGCCCAGATGTTCGAGGTTACATTGAGCTATGATTGTGCCACTACACTCCAGCCTGGGCAACAGAATGAGACTCTGCCTCAAATAAAACTACAATAATCAATAGTGTCATATTGGTGTAAAGCTATACACACAAGATGAGGATGGTGTCCAGAACAGACCACGTCCATGTCACTTAAGTTGGAAAAGTGGAGTCTTTCAACAAATAGAACTGAAACAAGCAACTATCCAACAGATAAAAAATCTTGATCCTTATTGCATATGGTACAAAAAAAATGAACTCAAAAGGATCACAGACTAAAATGTAAAAGGTAAAACTATAAAAGTTCCATAAAATAAAAAACATAGGAAAAAAATCGTGTACTTTGAGTAGGCAAATTTCTTAAACTCAAATTATAAAATCTCATAAATCATCATGATTATTATTATATCTCCCTCACGGCAACCTCTGCCTCCTGGGTTCAAGTGGTTCTCCTGCCTCAGCTTCTCAAGTAGCTGGGACTACAAGGGCACGACAATGCACCCAGATAATTTTTTTTTTTTTTTTTGAGACGGAGTTTCGCTCTTGTTACCCAGGCTGGAGTGCAATGGCGCGATCTCGGCTCACCGCAACCTCCGCCTCCTGGGTTCAGGCAATTCTCCTGTCTCAGCCTCCTGAGTAGCTGGGATTACAGGCACGCGCCACCATGCCCAGCTAATTTTTTGTATTTTTAGTAGAGACGGGGTTTCACCATGTTGACCAGGATGGTCTCGATCTCTTGACCTCGTGATCCACCCGCCTCGGCCTCCCAAAGTGCTGGGATTACAGGCTTGAGCCACCGCGCCCGGCCCCAGATAATTTTTGTATTTTTAGTAGAGACAGGGTTTAACCATGTTGGCCAGGCTAGTCTTGAACTTCTGGCCTCAGGTGATCTGCCCACCTTGGCCTCTCAAAGTGCTGGGATTACAGGCATGAGCCACTGCACCCACATCTTTGATAAATTAGACTTAATAAAAAATATTTGAAAGTCACCATTAAGAAAATGAACAGGCAAACCAAACATGAAAGGAAAATGTATTTGTCACAAACAGAAACAAAGAATTATATGTATTATGCATGTAAAATATGTTTTTCATCTAGAATGTGGAAAGAACTTTAGTCAACAATGAGCAACCCAACTTAAAAACAGGCAAAAGATATGAACAGACACATCACAAAAGATGACACAGAACAGCCATAAGCAGATGAAATCATAGGCATACATTATTTAGTGCACAAATACAAATTAAAATCGTTAAGACTAGAGTGGATCGAATTTTAAGAGACTGAAATACCAAGTGTTAGCAAAGATAAGGAGCAACTGGAATCTTCCCCTACTGTAGTAGGAATGTAAAACGATTCAACCACTATGGAGGGCTGTGCAATAATTATTATTTTTTTTAAGATGGAGCCTTGCTCTGTCATCCAGGCCAGGGTGCAGTGGCGCCATCTCAGCTCACCGCAACCACTGTTCCCGGGTTCAAGCAATTCTCCCGCCTCAGCCTCCCAAGTAGCTGAGATTATAGGCTTGCTGCAGCACACCTGGCTAGTTTTTGTATTTTTAGTAGAGATGGGGTTTCGGCCATGTTGGCCAGGCTGGTTTTGAACTCCTGACCTCAGGTGATCCACCCACCGTGGCCTCCCAAAGTGCTGGGATTATAGGCGTGAGCCACCGTGCCCAGATGACAGTTTCTTAGTAAGTTAACAACACTTATTTCAATGGACTGAATGCTTATGTCCTTGCACAATTCATGTCAAATTCCTAACCCGCAAGGTGACATGACGTGGGGTCTTGGGGAGGTAACAGAATCACAAGGGGAGAGCCCTCACAATTGGGGTAAGTTTGCTAGTCCATTTCCACCATGTGCAGTTACAGTGAAAAGACATCTACTTACAAAGGAAGCAGGCCCGCACTAGACACCCAAGGCCGACACCCTTGTCTTGGACTTCCCAGCCTCCAGAACTGTAGGACATAAATTTCTGTTTATAAGCCTCCCTGTTGATGGTATTTTGTTATAGCAGCCTGAATGGACTAACACTTATAAACTCAGCAATTAAAGTCCTAGGTACTTACCCAAGAGAAGTAAAAATACACGTGCAAATACATACTTTTACACAAATGTTCATAGTTTGAAGAGCTGAGACTGGAAACCCAACGACACATCAAAGTATAAACAAATGGCGGCTCATCTATACAATGGAACACTATCCAGTGAGAACTACTGAAACACGAAGCAGCTGGTTGAGTCTAAAAGCATGCCAAAGTGAAAGACATCAGACACCAAAGAACACATAATAAATCCACTTGTATGAGGTTCTAAACCAATCAAAACTCATCTACATGGATACAAAGTGGTCACCTGCAGCTGGAGTCGGCCTAACTAGGATAGGGCGAAAGGGAACTTTTTTGGGTGATAGAAATGTTGTTCTTGGTTCTGGCGGTGATGGTTAAACAGGTATATGGATTTTTCAAAACCCTGTACACTTAAAATAGGTGTTTTATTATATGAAAATTTAATCTCAGTAAAGTTGATTAAAATGGTGTGGTGAAATCTATAGCATTTGAAACATCTCTAGTAATGCTGATTTTCCAGAAAATGTAGATGTCTTTTTTGAATTACTTGTCCTCTCAAGCGTTTTAGGGTTGGTAGTATTTGTTAAGAATTCAAACTATGGCCTCTTGAGGAAAAAAAATATCATTACAAAACTGGACATTTGGGGTTCATGTTCAGATGAAATTCAGAGGCAAAGACTAAGAGTTTTGCCAGGTGGTGGTCCGCTGTGCATTCAATACGCCTGCCTTTGCACAGCCCTAGCCAAACGGCTGTCACGACTCCACATTTCTTCAGGATCCTATTTTCTCTCCTCTCCTGGATCATATTTGCTTCTTTAGCTAATCTCTGCTGATCTCTCTGGCTCAGCTGAAATGTCACCTCTTCTGTAAAGCCTTCCCAGCTCCGTGCCACAGCAGTCACCCCCTCGTCTGCGCTCCTTCACAACTGAGAACACACACTTGACTCACTGTACTGTGATCTCTGTCTTCCCCACTACACTGTGGGTGACTGCGGGTGGTGTGTTGCTCATCTGTTCTCCCAACGTTTAGGAATATTCCTTATAGATATCAATATATTTTCAAGTAAATGACAAAATGAACCACACAGCATGGAAAACGACAGCTCAGTTCAACCTTAGAACTGCTAAAACAGAAGAGTTACATAATGCACTGAGACTGTCCCCTTCGAGTGAGACAGATACGGACGAGTGAAGACCTTCTCTTTTCTCTTGAGACCTGCCGCTTCCTGTCCCCACTGTTCCAGCTGAGTCAGGTGTCAATGCCTTCCAGATCAAGCGGACAGTTCTGCGTGAGCTGTAAGGCAGCACAAAGGTGGGCGTGGATGTGCACTGGCAATTGCCTGCAACTACTAAGTTAAATAGGAGCAGCAGACAGTAGCAGGGCTGAGAAGATACTGGACAGAATCGTAGATTATACTGATACAAAATGAACAAACAAAAAAACAGCCAACAGCTGAAAACAAAGCAAGAGATGCCAATTACACATAGATTTGGGGGTGCATTTTTTATTGCCTCGTGCTAGACAGTGGACACGTGGAAATCAATCAGATATAATCACTGTCCTCAGGAACTGACAGTATAATGGAAGAGTCTACAAGTCATTCTGGCATATGCAAGTAAATACAGTAATAGCAGTAATTACTGAGCCACAGGAGCATGGACAGCACTGCCAGCTAAGACGGAGGCAAACAGTCCCTGACATGATGTCTGAGGCACGTCCTGAACCATGATTCGGAGTTAATTGGCTGAGAGGAGGAGACCCTTCAATAAGAACCAGGGTGAGAGAGGCAGGAAGCTGCGTGCAGCATGGGAAAGATGAAGCAGTCGGTGCTGCCGCAGCATCTACTATGAGGCAGGGGATTAGGCAGAGGGAGACGAGGCTTGAGGAAACCGGAGGCCTTGGGGCACACGGTAGGGTACACGATGGGAGGCCTGGAGTTCCTCCTAAGGACAACAGGGAAATGGCTTGGGGGTTATCTTTCTTCAACTTGATTTAATAGATCAAAATGTGCTAGGTAACATTCTCCTAAGTAATAACATTAGATACACAGTCCTGCTCTAAAAGGGATTTAACTCAAGGATGGACTGTAATTGTGGATAACATTTTTTAAAAAACCTTTGCTTGAGACCCGTCTCCTCCCTGCCCCTGATGTTCCAGCTCAGAGTCAGGGGTCAAGCCCCGTGACTCTCCCGAGGACAGCGCTCACAGCTAAGGAGGAGGGCTAAGCCCGGTAGTGCCACACAGTGGCAGGTGGCACCCACTCCAAAAACAGTCCCATCCATGACTCACAAAATTCTGACATGTCCAAATCGTAGATGCCACATGAATCCTAAGTCCACCCATTTCCAAACATCACTCATTGGGCAGAAGAGTTATTATTTATAAGTTATCTGTGTGTTCCCCCTGCTCTGCAGACCTCTCACCCAAATGCACGGAGGCCTTACTCAAAGAAAGTCCCTCTTGGTGAACACTCTGATTATTTTTAAAGTTTGTGGCTGAGTTAAAATCTCTCCCGTACTGACTACACTCATAGAGCTTCTCTTCAGTATGAATTTTCTGGTGTTGAAGGAAGTTTGACCTCTGAATGAAGCCTTTCCCACAATAACTACACACATAGGGCTTTTCTCCAGTGTGAATAATCTGGTGCAGAAGCAGCTTGGAGCTCTGGATGAAGGCTTTCCCGCAGTCTTTACATTCGAAGGGCCTGTCCCCAGAGTGGATCTTCTGGTGCTCAGTGAGATGGGCTTTCTGGAGAAACGCCTTCCCACATTCCTTACATTCATACACCCTCTCCCCGGTGTGGATTTTCTGGTGTCGAATAAGGTATGAACTCAGAAAGAAAGCTTTCCCACACTCGTTACATTCATAGAGTTTCTCTCCAGTGTGAATTCTCTGATGCTGGGTGAAGTTTGATGTCTGGCTGAAGCGCTTCCCACACTGATTGCATACGTAAGGCCTCTCCCCAGTATGGATCCGCTGATGCTGAATGAGCTTTGAACTCCGAATAAAAGCCTTCCCACACTCGCTGCATTCAAAGGGTCTCTCTCCGGTGTGAATTCTCTGGTGCTCAATCAGGTCTGAGCGATGACGGAACGCCTTCCCACATTCTTTGCATTCATACTGTTTCACTTCTGTGTGGATCTGATAATGGCGAATGAGGCTCGAGCTCCTTATGAAGGATTTCCCACATTCATTGCACTCATAGGGCCTTTCTCCTGTATGAATCCTCTGATGACGAATAAGTAAGGAGCTTTGACTGAAGCCTTTCCCACACTCTTTGCATTCAAAAGGTCTCTCTCTGGTGTGAACTCTCTGGTGCCTAATCAGGTCTGAACTGTGACAAAACGCCTTCCCACATTGCACACATTTGAAAGGCTTTTCTCCCGAATGAACGCGCTGATGCTCAATGAGACCTGCATAGCGAATGAAGTCTTTCCCACAGACATTACAGACATAGAGCCTCTCTCCAGTGTGAATTCTCTGATGCTCCATGAGGTGTGAGCTCTGGCCAAAGCCTTTCCCACACTGATCGCACGTGTAAGGTTTCTTCCCAGCATGCAAAATCTGATGCCTAACTAGGTCCGAATTAAATGTGAAGGTTTTGCCACAGATATCGCAAGGATTGGCTTCCCCCTCTATGAGCTCTCTTTGAAGTATAAGAAGGTCTGAGTTCAGAACAGGGCGTCTGCTTGACTTGGTGCACACTTGAGCTGTCTCCCGTGTTTGGATCTTCCAACGGGTCACGGTCACCTGCTTGCAGCCCCTGTCCTGAGATGGGAAACTCCCCAGGCTCTGACCTTCTGGATTTCCCAAGAGCTCCTCTAATCTGGGCTCACAGACTTCCCCAGACTCAGGGGAGGGGAGCTCCATCGCTGTGACTTTGTCTGACATTGTCCTATGTGAGTTTTCATCCTCAGAAATCCAGGCTTCAGTCACCTTCTTCTCACCAGTTCCTACATTAGAATCTGAAACAAAAGACAACAGAATCATCTCTCCCCTCACTTCATGGACGGGGATCTCCTCAATGAGGGCAGGATGAAATTCATCTCCAAGAGGTGGAAAGTGTTTCCTCTGCCCCTCACTCCTGACCCAACGTGCTGCTACCCACAGCTCTGGTCTCACACCCAAGCCTGTCCCACGCAAGATGGCTTCTTTGTGGCTCCTGTTTTAACATCTGACACCAGGACAGATTGGCCTGTGGTGCACAACACCCCTCTGACCCTTAGTGAACCCTGGATGAGTTGCAGAGGGGTGGGGATATGCTTGGACTCCATTAAAAAACCATGACAGATATTTTAAACAAATGTATAAATGTATCAACACTGTCACCTCTTCACTGTCCCTCATTCCCTCCTTCATGTCCTCTTCTCCCCTCTGTAACTAGCTTAGACTCCAAAGTCTGGCACAGTGTTCACTGCAAGTTACATGAGAATCACCCTCCTGCAAAGAATCCAGGCCCCCTGCCCTTTCCTGCCTCCATCATACTTGGATGGGAAAACCCAAGCTTTGGTCTGATTCATGCCTGCACTCTTGCTGACTGAGTTCTTTAAATTCAGAGCTGCTTGCCTAATGGGGCCTGAGAGCTGCCAGTAACTCCTACCCTTCCCACTCCCTGACAGGACCACCCACTTCTCCTGTCTTCTTACAGACCCATCACTCCCTCCTCCCTCCCCACTGGTGACCCTGCTTCTTGCTTCAACGAGAAAACAGAAGAAATGAGGCAAGGACAGCCACTGCCTGCCACATCTCCTGCCAGCCTGTATCTCCACCCATCCTCTGCCAGGCTTGTTACCTGGGTTAAACTGTCCTTGATTTGACCTAAGGTCAACACTTCCACTTGTGTGTGAACTCCCTTTCCCTCTCACACATGCAGGGACAGCACTTGAGCGCCCACCCCTCTCCTCCATCCTAAAGTCCCCACCCTCCAAGCCCACCACTCTCCTCATCATAAAGAAACTCACCAGTTTCCGGCTACCCGAAAAATGCATTTCATGGGCCTCATGTCCCACTAATTACCGCCCCATGACTCTCCTCCTCCACAGCCACATTCAAAGAGCCCTCACCCCATGCTCCATTTCTCCGTTTCCTCCTTCTTTGAGTCCACTGCAGTGGGGCTGTCACCCCAAACATGCACCACATCACCAGATCAGGGGTCAGCTGTGACCACACTTCCAACTCAACCTGCGGCGGCACTGACACAGCCCCAATCCTTCGAAAGTCCCTCTCCTATGTGAATCTGGGACAGCTTCTCTCAGTTCCCTAACTGCCTCACTGACAGCTGTGACGCCTCAAAGTCCTGGCGAGTCTGGGGCTCAGCCCTCATCTATGTCTATTACAGAGGGGGCGCACTCATTACTGAACACCAATGCCATCTATGCTGAAGACTCACATGCCTGCCTCCAACCTGGCCTTCTGCCAGTCCCCACACCTGACCAGCTCCTCACCTGACACCTTCATTCAGGCACTCTCAGAAGGTTTTCAACCCTAATGCATCCAGCCTCACTTCTGAGTCCCCTCCTTCTGCAGTTCTCTCCATTATCTCATTTGTTCAGGCCACAAACGCTGCAATAACCCTTGACTCCTTTTCCCTTTGTCCACACTCCACATCTGTTCAAAACCATGCCCAGCGCCAGATCCCGCCAACCTACAGGGCTGCCATCCGCACCGCCTTACGCCACACAGTGTGACCACTGCCATCCGCACCGCCCTACGCCACACAGTGTGACCGCTGCCATCCGCACCGCCCTATGCCACACAGTGTGAC